TATCTTGGCTATTTGGCAAACTGACATTACATATAAATCTACTAACACTTCAAACTGAGGATTAATGGTGGGTGCGTTATACCTTGGGNTTGTTTTATAGGTTGGTTTAACTCTTGACTAGCACGATTCTTAAATTCTTCAAAAGTAACAATATCGTCAGGTTCAGATGATTCTGTATCATTAATTGAGGGAGTGTGATCTTCTGAGGAAGAATTAGTAGCTTCATCTTGAGTTGAAGAAGTGTCCTTATCTTGATCTGATAATGTCGTTGAATCATTCTCTCCTTGTTTATCACCTTCTGTCTCTTTAGTTGATTCTACCGTTTCAATATTCCCTTCTCTCCTTTCTATGCCTCCCTCCTCCTCCTCTTTTCTCTCCTCTGTTGATTCATTATAGTTCCCTTTCTCTTTCTTCTCCGGTTCTGAAGAATTATCTAGAGGCGTGGTCTCTTCGGTCTCTGTGGTAACAAGCTCCACCTCCTTAGCACCAGTAGAATTATCAATCTTCGTTTCTTCAGTTACAGTAGAAAGGACCTCTTCCTTCTCTTCCTTGTTCTCTTTTCCTATGTCACTATCATTCTTATCATTCTCTCCTCCGCTATTAGCCACACCCACACTTCCTTGAGTATCGGAACCAACTGGTTTATCATCACTAGCATTGACTGATGGCTGGGAGATGTTGCTATCAGAGCAAGTGAAAGCTGCACACCTAATAAAAATGGAAGTCCCACATCAGGCATACATGTACATGTATGTGTGTGTGTGTATGAATAATTAATAGGCCATATGTCATGCATAATGTGTTAATGTATAATTTGTTTAACACAACTGACAATAGTCCAATGAACAAATGCACAATCATATTATAAATAAGGTGATTATAAATTTTTAAAAGTAATTATAAAAAACACTTTAAAAACCTACAAAATATTATAATCACCACACCCTCAAATGAATGGTCGTTGATTGATCTAAATGTCAATCTGGTATTTTTGCATGTAAAAAAAAATTATTTTTACACATAATCAATCCCACAAAAATAGCCAGTTATTAATTAATACTTACACAAGGACTATAGTTAATATCAACATGCATTGATTTCTTCCAACCATTTCCTCTACTCTACCTACAGATAATGACAGGATGGGAAAAAGAATATAATCAGTGTCTAATAAAATGAATACCTAAAGGAAAGGAGGTCTTTGCCTCGTGTATAAGGCAAACTTTCTTCAAATTTTCTTTCTTCTGATCTCTTTTTGTGCTGTTTCTAAATAATGCCCAATAATAAATTAAAGGGCGTGGTTAATTATTATTAATGAGTCAACTTACTATTTTCGTAAACTATTCGTATACGCAAACCACGTGATGCCATGCTTGATTATGCTACACAAAAACAGGACAGAAAGGAAAAGCAGGAGAGAGGGAAGGACAGTGACTTGGATAACCACATTCACAAGAGGAGGGGTAGTTATCTTGGTAAGCATAAATAAACCCCCTGTGTTTATCAACTAGTCAATACTGCATCAAGTTTAGAATGACTAAGACTTTGGTTGCTGTAGCTAAATGGAGTATTAATAATAACCATTATAAAAACGTTTGTGTTTACATTACCTAGTTTATTTAAATCATTATTTTGAAGGATGTTTCAAAGCTAGAACTAATATAGTATCTATACAAAGATGGCAATTTCACTCATAACAGCTGCTATCTTGTTGAGTATCAGTGAAGTTATTAGTCAATGTCCACCTTCCTCAGGTAAAACACTGGATGTGTATAATAACAACTGTATAGGTTTTTATAGGTATCTACCTGAGGCATAATGGAACCTGTTATACTAATGGATCATATTTTTGGGATAATAGTGTCAATGCAGCTAATGAAGCTATATCATGTGTGTTACCTTACTTACCTGGTACTAGTCTAACTACTGGTCAGTGGGTTAGAGTTGCTGATCCTGATGATGATCCTGTTGACTGTAACAGTAATAATGCCAGTGATCCTTTTCGTTGTACTTCTGTCACTTCACCTAATGCTACTCTCAATCTTTATCTTGCTCAGGGGCTACCAGCAGCTCAAGAAGGCTGGTACAAGTGTTGTCTGCCCACTGATTGTTCAGATCCTAGCACTAACATCATCTTTGCTAATATATTCAGTAAAAAGAGATTCTATAATCACTTACTGATGTAAATTTTCGTTTGTAGGATTTGCAGAGATAGAATCATTTACCATTGCTGATCTTCCTTCTGATATGACAGTATATCCTCAGGAATACAAACTGAATTGTACTAAAATTGGACACTATACTTATGGTATTAGCATCAACATTAGTAGTACTGCACTGGCTAGTTATACTAATTGTGATGATCGAAGTAGTAATTGTCCTGGTAATGTGCTAGTTCGTTT